GTGCTGGATCAGGGTTTGAGAATTGTTAGTATTCTTTATAGGTCCAAGAGGCTCTTGGACATGAAATTCACCTAGCCTAACACAAACCATTTTAACGTGGACAGGGCCAAGCTGGTACAACGGTCACAGCATCGTGCAACCACATCACTATCAAGTTCTAGATTGCTGTCACTGCCAAATAAAGCCCCTGACCTGTTAAACAGTAACTCCCTCCTCCTCCCCAGGCCCAGGCAAGAGCCATCTGCTTGCTTTCTGTGGCTCTACCAGTTCTGGATACTTCATGTAAATGGAAACAAGCAATATGTCACCTTTTCGGTCCGACTTTGTTCTATTGCATGGTGCTTTTGAGATGTGCTCACATTACAACATATGTCAGTAGATCATAGAATTTTTTTTTTAAGATTTATTTATTTATGTATACAGAACTGGGGTATAGGCCAGAGGTGCAGGGGTGGTGAGAGGATTCACCAGAGACAGAGCGGGGAGCAGAACAGGCAGACCCCTGAGGGGAGCAGCTACCGAGACAGCAGAGGTCTGCCACGCCATGTGGGTCAGCTCAGGGTGGGATCAAACTCGCTCTGAAGCAGCTGCCGCTAGCTTGCAGTGCTGCAGCCTAACCCGCTGCGCTACCAGGGAGGGTCCTAGATCATAGAATTTTAGCGATGATCCCCAAATACCACAAGCTTCCCCTGAAACCCCTCATTCTCAGACTGAGTCTTCTAGTCAATGTCATTTAGATCCAGAGCATGGAGGCTGGGCCAGATTCTTTGCTCCCCAAATACGCTGCATTAGAGATACCTGTGTGTATGTGTGTGTGTTCAACATACTGATTCCTGGGCTCTGGTCAGAGGAGTCCTGAACTATAGATCTGGGATGGGGCTGCTCTGGCAATTCTATTCAGTAGGGCTGAGGGCCCCTGAACCAGGGACTTCTGGGGGTTTTCTTGGCTCTTGACCACCACCCCTGACCCAGCAGAAGCCTGAAGCTATCTTGTTTATGATGCAGTTTTATGTTCAGAGATTTCTGTGGCAATGTGATTTTTCTATTTGCCTTCTGAGGGGAGGCACGGAGCCCCCTTCCTGCTGCTTTTACAGCTCCAATTAATTGTGTCTCATTTATCAAGCTCCAGCTATGCCCTGTGAGCTGGAGATGGGAGGGGGAGGTTGCTCACACCCTGGGGCTGTGGTTACGACTGACTGCACTTCAAGGTTATGTTACTGGAAAAGCTACCCTCCCAGTGCCCTTCCACCCCCGACCTGCCTCTTCTGGGTCTGTGTCTGCACCCCCTTCTGTGTGGCTGTGTGAGCCAGGCCTGTCTGAAGGCTCTCAAGAGCCTGAGGGTGCTGATGAGGGCAAGGCACAGGGCAGGGAGACCAGGAGGAAAGGGTCTAGCTGGGGTGAGGGGTGGTGTTCTGGATGGCGTTCTGCCTGGGCCTCTGGCTTTCTGGTCACCATTTCTTTTCTTTTCGTGAGAGGTGCGAGGTGGTGGGAATGGGGGACCAGGGAGGGGGAGAGGAGGAAGGTGAGGTCAGAGAGCTGTGGTGGTTTTGCATTAATAAAACTGGCAGCTTGCTGCTGAGTCCCTCTGTTGGCCTCTGAGCGCCTGGATCCGTGGCTGGCCCTGGGCTTGTGCTG